TGAGCATGAGAAGGATTGTTGAATAAATCTCGTCGTGTTTCTTTTACGTTTATAAGGAGGAATACACAAGTGGAGATTACATGGGCATATTGGATTGTGGACATGAATTCCATAGTAGTTGCATAAAGCAGTGGCTAAGGCTGAAGAATGTGTGTCCTATTTGTAAGAATACAGCCTTAAAAAAATGAACAGAAATAATGTCCCTCCTCAAAAAATTCATTGGAAAAAGAGGGGGTGGAGGGTTCTTTTACATTGTTAAAGCTCATGGGGATATCTTTTTATTGTTATTATTTATTTTGAAGTGATAAACCCATAGAAATATTCTTGTGATGTTTGTTTTTGAGTAATACTAGCAAAAAAAAATAAAAAAATCAACCGAACATTGTTTAGTTTTGATGATATAAATTTGTTGTGTAAAAATAATGCTCATTAATTCTGCTTCGTAAAACTAAAGAAGCTTCAGTTTATGTTAAAAATACATAATGTATTTATGTTGGTTAAGGAAAAATTGTCTTAAAATAAAGTGGCTCTAAATCTTACACAAGTTTTGGGTTCACTATTTTGTGAGATAAACATTTTCAATGATTGCATACTAACACTATATATTGGTATTACATGAAGAAGACGATTGATAAGAAAATCAATTTAATTTTATAATTAGAGTTTGGAAGAAATAGTGTTAATTATGCATCCAAATATTATTCCTATTTTAAAAATAAAAAAGAGGCTATTTAAAAAAAAGATTCATATGCAATCAAGGTCACTTGAAACAAATTATAGAATAATAACAATAACAATTTATTTAACTGAAGCAAAGGAAAAATAACATATGACATATAATAAAAATAAAAGAATAAGAAACTCAATATAAACACTTCGAATATATATACATATATAATTTTATTTTTTCAAGAAAAGAGTTGAGTGTCGAAAACACATGCTTAAAGTGTATTTTTTTGTGAGTTTTATACCCAAAATGTTGAAAGTTTACGTTTAGACCTAAATTTCACGTTTAGACCTAAATTATCACTTATTAGAGAAACATATATTTTTTTATTTATAATACTCTCATATATACTTCTTTTTTTTTAAAGAAAAATTGTCACATCACAATCTACATGGATAAAACATCTCACCTCGATAAAAACTTAACAAATTAAAAAACTATTATCTCTAAATTATTTTTAAAAAAAATTCAACATAATATATTTATCTTATCCCATTTTATCACTTCCTTTCACCCAACACTCCCCCCTCAAATTATAATTTAGATATTATTTATTTTATTTTTTAAAAATAAAATAACATCAATTTTTGGGGGGAATGAGTGGGTTGTTCGAGGGGGGAGAGTGAAGTATGATTTTTTTTTTAAAAAAAATTATAAAACAAATCTTTAATTAAAGTAAAACGACGGGGATAGAAGGTGGGGTATATGAGGTGGCGGAGTGAGGTAAGAAAGATAATTTAAATTTTATTTTTTTTATAAATTTATTTTCTAAGGAATAGTAATACTTTAATCTTTATTTTTTCATTAATATTAATAACTTATTATTTAATTTTTGTTAAGGTGAAATAGTTTATTCATATAGAATGTCATGTCTCAAGATATTTTCGAATACATACCACTGAGGTGTGTTTTTTAAACTAATAAATAATAGTTTAGGTGTGAAACTCAAACTTTCAATAATTTAGATATAAAACTAAAAACAAAAACAAAAATAATCTAAGTGTATTTTTAACAATTGACGTAGATATGACATTCAGAGAAAAAGCCAAAAAGAAAAAAAAAATACAAAAAGACAAAGAATCATGATTACAATTAACAACAAACGCAAGCATAGAGAGAGACCCGAAAATACTGAAAAAATTAACAACAAAAACGGCTCATATTATGACAAACCCCTATTTGTAACTCCAATTACGTCATGTCATAGACAACTATTCTGTTCTATTCTCATATACTTCTTTTATTTTGATTTGATATTCGATGATCATTTAAAAACTTAATTCGTTTAAATTCGTAATTGAATATCTTAAATTGATCAGTTTTATTATATGACCTTAAATTACAAATTCACAAGTATTACTAAACTCCTTACATAACAATTCTATAACTGGGCAATCAAATGCGTAACTCATTCTAAGGGAGACTAATATGATCGCAGATATATTAACGAAATACTAAAGAAAATCTATGAAAATCATATAAAATAGGTGATTGTATCGTTATTTTAATATTTTATTTTTTATTTAATATTTAATATTTAATAATTATATTTAATTTTTTTCCTACCATATCACGGTAGATTTTACCTCTTACTTTATTTTTCTTTTATGTTTATCATTTAAATAATAGATTTATGACATTATGTAACAACGAAAAATGATACAATCTATCCAAACATTATATTCACATTAAAACAATACAATATGATGCATTATTAAACAAAACACGACAACCATCCATACAAAGAGTTATTAATCTAGCTAGTTGATAAGTAGGCTTAATGTCTAAGAAGATTTTGATCGTAGCATTAATTATCATTGGGGCTCTATGTGATGAAAAAAATTCTCAACTTTTTTTTAAAATATCAGCTGTTTCACTTTCACATAACCTTATTATGTAACAACATAGTAATTTTATTTAATTTTTTTTAGCTCGTAACTTACCAAACTAACTTTATTAATTATACTTTAAACTGAATAATATTATTTCTTTTTAGGTACTCCATCTTGAATTTCTTCTCCACCCCAACTCCTTTATTTCATCATATATAACTAAACTAAGTTATAGTATATGTATGGTGTTTATAAATTTGATATTCTGATTTATATATTATTATTATTATTATATTCAGATAGAAAAATATTAAAATAAAAAGGATATAACTAGTACAATAAATAAACGAATTTTGTATACGAAAATAGTGAGAAGTTAACGCTATTAATGAGTGTGACAATATTTAACATTTTAGAGTATCAATTGTTCATATATATATATATATATATAAACACCGTTATTTCACATATTTGCTGTGTTTCTACATTGCTAGTATTTTTTTGGGTCAAGTATTATAGAAACATTTTGGGATAAACTTGCGTTTGAGATTATCATAAATAATTAAAGCGAACCGTTTACGTAGTAAAATATTCCACTGAAGCTGCTCTTGTATAAGGAGCAAAGTATTATAATATAGTAAGGTAATATGGAAAAATGAAAAAGAAAAAGAAGGAAGTAACTATGTAGTAAAATTATTTAATTTTGTATTATATTAATTAAATTATTATATTTAGATTTATAATCTTGTATAATGTTACTTAGAAATTCCCCCGAATAGAATGAAATAATTAATCATATATTACACCCACAAATTGAAATAGGTCTTCACCAATAATTTTTGACAAGTATAGTATTTGAAATGATTATCTTAATACGTAATGCTCGTGTGTATGTGTTGATAATAATAAAACAGTCAGCATTACTCACAAGATAATGGTGTTGTGATCTGTTTATTTTATTATATATTTAGAAGTTTATTTTATTATATATTATATTTAGAAGGGTCAGTGATCAGTTTATTTTATTAATTAAATTTAGTTTAATCTGTTTAATTTAACCTATTTTAAGATTAGGTTAATATGTTGTCTAAATTTGATCCATGTAAATTTTTGTTTAATATGTTGTTTTTATTGATGTATTATATAGAGTCATATATGAGAAAAAAGTTTTATTAGAGTATACAAATTAAAAAAATAATAGTATGAATTTGGTAGATTAAGCTATGACTCGAAATTTAGTCCACTTCAATTCAAGCAAAAAGACTTATTTTTTTTTAACTCAATTCAATTTATCATGCCCAAATTCAACTTAATCTATTCATTTGACTATGATTATTTAAAATCGAATTGAATAAAATAATTGATTTATCAGTAATGAGTTATTTATTTGGTGGTTTCGATAACAGTTTCATTTTTTTTATCGGATATTGCTTTTTAACGGGTTGATATTTTTTCTTAACGAGTAATCGATAACCTCCAAGTAAATTAAAAAATTATATTTATATCGTTTAGTATATAGAAGTCCTTAACTTAGAGTTTAGTTTCATACGTGTATTTCTGAATGTTTCAAACTCTCTGATATTCTAAAATGTGAATATCTTTGCTTTTGAGCAAAATGTAATCTGTCAACTCATATACATAGTTCATTTGGTTTGTCACCTTGTTTCTAAGTGATTTTTAACGATTTTGATCTGATTTTAACGGTTAAATCGATTAATTGAATAATCGATAGGTCAATATCTTAGTGGTTTCACAATGTTTTAACATATCTACAAATAACCGATAAATAAAACCAATGAATTTCAAAATTAAACCAAACAAATCAATACAAAACCCTACATTTGATACTCATGCAATAAACAATTTGACAAATAAATAATAAAAGATTGTCGATTATACTATTTATTAATGAATTATAAAAAAAACAAACTGCTAGCTACAAACTAGTGAAGGATTATCAAAGAATTAATATCCTAACTAATTTTTTTTCCTAATAAAGCAAAAGTCATGATTAGTATTTGGAGGCATTTTAACATCCTGGCCAGAAGATGAAATAAAATGATGATCTTTTTTTTTATGGAATGGATATTGCATGATAAAAAACTTTTATTCACGAAAAAACACTTGCTTAATTATTGATTTTAGTGTGAATAACTTGAACAAATGAGAAAAAAAAGCGTAAAATTTAATGTAGTCGAAGCCAGCTATTAATAAAATTTCATTAACATTAATAATCACGTGAATAAGCAATTATTAAAATCTCGTTAACGCTAGCCATTTAACCTCTTATATTATAATACTACAACTCAGGCATACCCAATTCATATAATTTAAGAATTAAGACTTGCATTTTAAAAAAAAAATTAATTTATTAAGTAAATTAGATTTATATACAGTTATATTAATTATTATTTTTATTTTAATTGAAAAAAAAACTTAGG